GGCTAGTTTACAGACCCCTTGAAGCTCACCTCCTGCTACATATTGGCTTCTATTAACTGTGTGTCTTGAAGCAAACCATAACTCTTTTGAGCTATGAATCCTCAACTCTAAAATGACAAAAACCCTACCTATCAGAATTACAGTGGCAATTCAAAGAAATTACATATAAGACAGTAGATGTGAATTGTGAATGACAAACAATTGTAGAAGCACTATTTACAATAGTTGAACTAGAGCCCAAAGCTATTGGTCTAGAAGAGTGGTCTCTAAGTATTTTTGATTGTATATTTTATCAGTAAGAAATTTTTGAGTGAACCCTCTAATGAAAACTTTCCTTTCTTATAAACTGTATGCAAGTGTTACTAAATTTTAAAAATGAAGAAGATGAAATAATGCTTTTTAATAGTATCCCCAGAACATTCAGGAATTAAACTAGAAGGGTTTGATTGTGTCATATTAATAACTTCTTGCTCAATATACACTGAGAAAGAGATTTATCTTACCAGTAGTGGATATAAATCGATAGTTCAAATACTCTTCATAGTAATCTTGAATTTCAAAAAATGACTTCTTGGCACAGCTGATTAGCTTATCATTGCTCTTAACTTCACATGCCTGATGAAGACTGTTCTAGAAGAAGTCTCATCATCTCAGCAATTTTTCTGATGCTCAGATGTGCTTGCACTAGTAGAATCAGATACAATCCAGAGTTTCTTTGCAGAACCCTTTTAAAACCACGTGTCCATTTTGTGAAGGCCTAATTAGTTGACGCTTGATGGTATTTGCCATGTTACCACTTAATGAGACCCTTTAACTTCATTGCTTCCTAGGACTCTACAATGGAACCTCCAAGTAGCCCCTTCTCAGCCCCTTGACTGTAGGGCTCCCTCGTGATTCATCCACAGATCAAACCAGAAAAGACCATCCAACATTTGGACTGAGTGAAGGCACTAGTGTCCATCTTTAGAGTCAGTAATAGGGAAGCATAATTTGTTTCTTGGTTTTGAGATTTAAAATGCATAGGTATAGAAGTCTTACTGTTTCTTCTCTGCACCCAAATAGGTTGTTCTGTATCTTCCCACACTAGAGACCACTGGACAATCAGTACATTCCTGTATTCCTCTTCTCCCTTAAGTGTATGTTGACATAAATGAGAGTGTCTATTGAGTAACTGATGCAGCCAGAGGGTTAAATTTGGGCAGAAGAAGAGTGGAGGAAATTGGAGGAGGTGGAAAGGGGGATTTGTTTCATTTCTGTTTCCTTGGATTGATTAAAAGAATGATGATCAAAACAGAATAATATGTTATTCTAGAGGGATTTGATGCTACTCTGTCAAGAGAGGAGGGCCAGAAACTGACCAAAATAATGAGTCCAAGGCATTGAACTTGACCAGCCATTTCTGGCTTTGAAGATGGAGAAGGATGGGACCAAAGAGTACATGTAGTCTCTAGAAGCTGGAAAAGGCAAATACATAAATAAATGAATGAATTTTCCCCTAGAGCCTCCAGAATGGAACTCAACTCTGATGACTCATTGATTTTAGTCCAATGAGACCCATTTCAGACAGATGACTTTCAGAACTGTAAGACAAGACACTTGCATTGTTTTAAGCTACTTACATCAGTGTTAATTTGTTATAGCAGGAATAGGAAATTAACACAGGGGATGTGCACCCCAGATCTTGTTATTATGGGGTTGGGCCTGAAGACATTAGAAACAAGTATAAATTAGTATTATCCTACACATGCTGAATGACTTCCAGAAACTTTCAAATCAGGCAGAATCCCTGTAACTTGGTAGCCTAGAGATAACTAATTTCAAACCCCTTCTCAGTCCTTCAAACACCAGGCTTGCCATCCCCTCACTCTTTCAGAAGGAAGGCATCTATTAATAGAAAGTGATATTTTCATCAGAGCTGGAGGTGGACTGCAGAGTAAGGGTAGCAGGAGAGGCCACACCCATCAAGATTGACAAATAATACAGCATGGTGGAGGTCCCAACCCAAGGGACAGGTGGAACAGAAAAAAGGGGTAAGAGGGGACCAAGACTCCAGAGAACAGAGCCAGAGTTCACACGAAGAATCCGAGGCCAAAATAAGCATCTGAGAGTTTGTATGCAGAGGGAGCAATAAGGCCATGGGTCCAGGAAGACACCCTCGCCTCCTCACCTTTCTCTGAATTGGCCACAAGCTACAGGTGGAGTTAAGAACAAACCCTGGGTGAAGCCTGGAAGTCAATGTCGGTATCTCACAGCCAGGACAAGTCATCATGCTTGGGATGCCCGTCTGCCCTCTGTGCAGTGGGGAGGCCCTTTGGGACATGGGAAGCAGGTGATACTGCTCAATGGATCATGCTCCACTGTGCTTGGCCCAGCCAAGGTAGACATGTGGGTCTTCTGGGACATCTTCACCAACCTCACAATACCTGTCCTAGGTATGTGATGGGCCTGCCACAGCTACTGCACAGTGCCTCTAGTTCAAATTGTACCATGCAGTTCCCTTTATGCTAAGATGGAAATATCAAAGGTCAAGAGCCATCTCCTTCTATTCTGAACTCCATTCCAGAAATCCTGAGTCTGGAAGGAACTCAGAGAAGAAATGCAGAGGTCTGTTCTCCATGCTGAGCATTGTGGAAGGGAGCGACTCTTCCCTGCCCACGTAAGGCTGGATGGGGAAGGAAGTCTTGGCTCACTGGTCCAGAACAAGGGAAGGAGGAACTCTCATGCACCCACTTCCTATGTAAGTCCTGCTAGGCATGATTTGTACAGAAATCCCATCTGGAGTTTGATGGAGTGGAAGGTTGGCCAATCTAATCCCTGGGACCCCCAACCCCAGGACTTTTCTATGCTATTTCCCTCCTACCCCAATCCCCTCATCCCTAATTATACTTTAGACAGCCTTCCAGGAACAACAGGCTCCAAAGGAGATAAAATCACTGGGTTGTTTCCTAGGGCTGCCATAACAGAATACCACAGACTACGTGGATTAAAACAACAGAAATTCATTCCCTCACAGTTCTGGAGGCCAGGAGTCCAAAATCAAAGCGTCATCTGGGGCAGGCTCCCTGGAAAGGCTCCTTTCCTTTCTATGGAAAGATTCTCCCTGGCCTCTCCAGCTTCTAGTGGCCTAGGTGCTCCATGACCTATGGCAGTGCGGCAGTCTTCCTGTGTGACTCTGTCTTCATGTGCCTGTGTGTGTCTAGGTCCAAAACTCTTTCCTCTGCTAAGGACACCAGTCATATTGGATTAAGGACCCACTCTGCTCCACTACAACCTCATCTTAATCCAGCTAACTACCCCTGCAATGACCTGATGTCCAAATAGTTTCACTTCTGCAGTATAGTGGGGTTAGGTCTTCAACATATCTTTTTAATGGGAGACATACCACAATTCAACCCCAGACAGTCATCCCTGACTATTCTGCTGAAATCCTTTTTATTTTTCCTGCTTTTACATTCTTCATAATGTACAACACACTCCCATCTGTATCATCTCTAATTTCTCGATTCTCAACCATGAGGTGGGGATGGGGAAGGTAGGAACCAGAATTGCCAGGAGAGACACTGTAGTTTTGAAATATAAATAAAGAGACAACTGTCTGATAGCTGTTTCAGGGCCAGGTTTTTCTCAACTGTGGGTGCACTTTAGAGTCATCTGGGGGAACTTTAAAATGCAAACAGTATGCATGTTATTACAAATGTATAGATTTGTAAAATTAATGTAAATGCTGAGCTTGACTTCAGACAGATTACATTGGAGTCCCTGGTGGTGGTGCCCAGGCACTGGTATTTTTCAAAGCTCCCGGGGGATTCTAAGCTGTATTTAGGACTAAGGATCTCTGTGCTGGGTGAGACTCACTGCTTAGGGAATGGCTCCAGCCCTGCAGTTGTTGATGACTCACATTCCTCTCTATTGGTACCCATGGAGCGTAGGAAGGGTGCTGAAGGAAACAGCTTACACAGGCCTTGTTATCTGAGTGCAAAACATTCTGCCTAAGTTTGGTGCCATTTGTGTGCCCCACCCCCACCCCAGAGATGAAAGGATGGACTGGTGACAGAGGAGGAGCAGAACCAAGTGTCTGAATCCCAGTTTGAAATGCCAGCTTCAGCTCTGCTAGAGTTCTGCCAGGGTAGGGCTCTCTTGTGGCAATTTGAGTGTGGTGCCCATGATGAATCCATCCTTCCAAAGGAGTTCTGACTGGGATGGAGCCAGTGTGGGGGTGGTGTTTGTTCTGACTTTCAAGCCTCATGTTAATCATGAAAAATTGTCTTACTGTTTGACCTACTGAACTTATGCCCCAACTAAGGTCATTTTCCACCCATGCATTCTCAAGCCATGGCTCTCTCAGTCTATACAGCTCACCAGAGTTTCCAAGTTTACTTATTTGTTAGAGAATCCCATTGTTCTTGGTGACAGAGGTCTTTGGGGGATTCCAAGTCTGACATTCAGCATACCAACTACCCTTCCATGAATGTGATCAATAGGCTAATGTCCTCCAATTTGTTATACACTTTAAAACATTCAGCAGACAGCATGGTCAGCAGAGAGACCTACCCAAGGCCTCCAGGACTTCCCACCATGGTGACACTGACAGCATCATCCAATGCTCCTCAATATATACATCCTTCCTGGGTTGTGATCCATCACCACTACCATCCTCCAGCCTGTGTTTCTCCATCTTGGCCACAAAAACATCACAACAGATTTTAACCTAAGGGCAATATTCCAAATATATTCTTTCTGAAACAGTCCCTATTTGCATTTGTCTTGCAGTAATACTAAACCACAACATTAGCTGGACATGCTTATTTTTAATGAACCCAGCCAATTCATAATGATCACAGATTTCTCTTCTAAGAATTCATAAGCTAGTCAAAGAAAAAAGAAGAACCTTAGTGATCATAATTAGCCCAGCATAAAATCAAGCTCACCAGATAGTAGTCTGCAGGTCCTGCTTTCTTTACTTTTTTGAAGAACTGAAGTACATTCTCCCTTTCCACTCTTCTAATACTGTTTTGGTCCTCCAGAATTCTTCCAAGATCACCGTCAGTGGGTGGACAGTCTCATCTGCTCAGTCCCTGGGGTACCACTCCTCTGAGTTGAGAAACCTGAACTCGTCTGGAACAACGAAGTGCTCTCCTTACAATCCCTTCACATGGCTTGGGTTTCAGTCTCCCATTGCCAATGCTTTTAGCCTTTCCAGTCTGGACTAGAAAAAAAAAAAATCATTCCCAATCTTGACAGAACTCTCAGTATTGTGCCTTTACCTAGGGACATGAAATTACTAGAACATGGGGGGGAGGCTGTACCTACCAAGAGGGTTAAAGGGACCTATAGAGGGGGGCAGCCAAGCCCCCATGACACAACTCACCCACCAAGCACAAAGCTGCCACAAAGATGAAACTGAGAGGAAGGAAAAGCCCTGCAGCCTCAGTTCTCAGAGGATGACAGTATCACCACGCACTGTAGACACAATGAGAGAGGGGACCAAGGCCAGCTCTGCTCCCAAGGGGCAGTCCTGACATCACATTCATGGGTATACATGGGGACGGGGTGGGGCTGGGGGGTCCACATCTCTGAGAAGCGTGGCTGCCAACAAAGGAATTGTGATAATGGATATTCACAGCAGAGTCCCTCAGGCAGATGCGGTAGAAGTATTAATAGTGAGGATTTATTGAGAAATCAGTCTTCATTCTCTATTTTCCATATAATCATCAATAAATCAATTAGCTAAACTTTCAAATGATTGATCTCATAGGGAGCCCTTTTGAAGAGAAGGTTTCAACTCCTGAGCTACAAGGGAAAGCAAATTTCTCACAATATAAATACTCTTCTGAGGTTTTGTTGATAGCATCCAGCAAACATCGAATGCTTTCTATATACTGTCCTGAGTAATTTGCATTCATTAACTGCTCACAACAACTCTATGAGGTTAATATAGCTTCAGTCAATATCTCCATTTTACAGAGAAAGAAACTGAGGCACAGAGACAAGTGACTTGGGTCAAGTCCGTACAGTTTGAAAGTAGTAGAACTGGTATTTGAACTCATGCAGACTGACTATAGAACATTGGGATAAATGAATTGTAAAAACAGCCCAATTTTCTACCTGTTCCTATATCTATGTTGGGAACCCTGTCACCAATGTGAGAAGAGTCCTGGCCAGCCTGCTAGATGATGAGAAAACAACAGAGCCAAGTCATCCTAGACAAGGGCATCCTAGACCAGCCAGCCCGAAAACAAATCTCCAGCTGACCACAGGAAGGAAGCATGAGGAAGCCCAGCCAACAGCCACTCAAGAACCCAGACTTATGAGAAATAGTAAGTGATTGTGCATTTAACTTTGGGGTGGTTTGTTACCTACCAGCAGATAACTGACACAAACCTCAATGCTGGACCACTACCCTATATCTTCTTTCTTATGACCCCGGCTTCACCTGCTTTCAGGACTTTTCAGGACAGGACAGCTCCAGCTGTAATGAGCCTTCACTTTGCCACCTTATCACTGTTCATCCCTGTGCTATCCCTGCCCTACTACTATGCCAACCCGTAAAGATAGTCTGTCTAACTATCCTTCACCTTTACTCCTGTGTTTTGTTTTTTTTTTCCCCCAGGAATCAAGAGGAAATGAGGGTGCCGCAAACCCTTCAGTACTATTTCAAGTTCTGTTGCCTTGCCTACCCCCTTTGCCCTTCTCTCCATCATTTAGGAGCTAAGTGGGCATTAGCCAAAGTGACTGAGGCCAAAATAATGAGATCAGGGTCAGGAGGGAGAGAGCTTGGATAGAGTTCAAAGTCAGCACCTCTCATTCTCCAGCCTTTCCCTCCTCTCCAGGCGGGTATCCTCTCCGCAGGGATGGGGACCAGCTTTGCCACCTGATCTCCACATGAAACCCTGGAAAGATGAACTTTCCCTGCCTGCCAGGAGTCACGAGGGGCAGCAAGCCGCACCTCCACAGGAACTAACAGCCCCAACTGCTCAACTCAAATTGAAAAAAAAGAGTTTGGAAATATGCTCCACAGAGGGGAAGGCTTCTGGGGCATTTCTGCCAGCTGCCTCCAGATACTTTGTTCTCAACTAATGGAGAAGATACCCTAGGGGGAAGGAGGGCACCCCCAAGACATCCTGAGAGGCAGGGGCCACAATCCACTAAAACGGGACTAGAAATCTCCCAAGAAAGAAAAAGAGGCATAAAAGACTGTTGTTTTTCTATTTGAGTATTTTTTAACTTATTCTTGCTCTTAGGCACTCAATAAATGCTAAACGATGCTAATTCTCCTAGCTCTTCTTGCTTTATGAGTGAAGCCTGGATTGTAAGGGTTCGTTGCTCAGAGGGCCAATAGCTAAGTGACCTGGGTTGATGAAGAGAAACAAAAGTTCCCCGGGGGTAAACCCAGCCTTACTGTGCCATTAGACACCCACCCCCCCAACTCATTACATTCCAACAATAGTTTAGTTTTAATTTCTTTTCCTTATATTTCACAGCCCTAAGGGAAAATGTCCTGTGACAATTCTATAATACTGAGACAATTACTGGTGACTCAGGACTCCCTGCTGCCTCGGCAGCATCTCGCAGCTGAGGAGCAGGTTTGCCACCCAAGTGGGAACAATTTGGTCTGTGAATTAGGAAAGTCCGAACAAAAGGAATCTTCACGTTTTAAAAATGATGGAAATTCAAAGAAATTAGATGAAAATTCAGCCCAAGGAGTGTGTTTCAGAACAGGAGTCAACTGTAGGCATTGAGACCCTGAGGAAATCTGTCACAGAGACTCCTGCTTGCTCAGTCCCTTCTCTTTGCCTTTTTTTTTTTTCCCTGCTGTTTCACTTCTGCCCATTTTACCTCTGCCAGTGAATGAAGCAGTGAATGGAATGTAAAACTATGTTCTCCTTCAGACAAAACAAACAAAAATATCCTGTCTTATTCTTCTTGCACTTCAAGCACTCAGCCCAAGCCTGACTTAACAAGAACCAAGTTAGAGATGTCCCGGGTTGGAGGGCACGGTCATCCCTAATCTCCAGCAGACTATGTTCCAAAGCACTCTTATGAATGGATAGTTTAGAGCAGGGAAAGCATTTTTTCCCATTAGCATGAAGTTTAAGACAGAGGCTGTCCTCGGACTCAATTATAAAACTCGAGCTGGGCATGAGCCTAATAATACTCCAGGAGTGAGAACTTCAGTTGTTTTATCACCTCCTCCCAAACAACCACTTAAAAGTTTCCATGAGAAAATGCATTCCAAAGCAGGATGCCAGGAACAGATTTTCATTTCCTCCACAACCAAAGTGAGGCTTTCCTACTGAAAAACCAAAAGGAAAATGAAGGGGGGAAAGATGCTACCAGAAACAGCCCTGATGGTCATGGCAGGCACAGGCTTTGCAAGGAGCATGGAATGGGATGGGAACGACTGGCTACCAACAATGACAACCTGAAATGCTGCTCTGCTTTTATGTAACACATGTTCTTCAGTTCTTTAGTTCAAACACTGGCCCTAAGTGTGCTAAATCAGGAACTAAAAGGCAGTTGCCTGAAGGGGAGCTTGGAGAAGGGAGGGATTTCTGGTTTGGGAGTCACTGATCATTGAACCAAGGAGGGCCTGTGCTCACCTGTGATGACACTCAATTTCTGTTCTTCAGTTCCTTGACTGACACGCTGATGCTAATAAAATTCTAACTCTCAGGTTTCCTCTGTCAGTTTGAAACGGGAGCACAGAGAAGGAAGGCAGACTGTAAGCTTCTTAAGGACTGGGGTATCACTTTCATTTTTTTTTCCAGTGGAAAATTTTATTCAACTCAAATATATATAACCCAGGAACAGCCTCTCAGAAAGCTCGAGAACAGTTCCCTCCTATCCATTTCTTTATATTCCAGCCCCCTCAGTGCTGAAATCACAATCCATATAACTTAAGAAAGGGCTTTAACTTTTCAATGCAGTTGCAAAATGGGGGGTCTTTGGAGTCAAACTTTACAGATTCAAACCATTTTTCCCTCCACTGGTGCAGGAGCAGGGCTTTCTCCCTGGAATTCCAGTTTTCTCCTCTAGAATAAAGCGGTGATAGCATCTACCTCAAGGGTCACTGTGGGAACTGAACACATTTGCTTTTGTGAATTGCATAGCACTGTGCCTGCCACATAGATGGCACTCAATAAAGCTAAGCTAGGGCTTTCCAGGTGGCTCAGTGGTAAAGAATCTGCCTGCCAATGCAGAAGCCACAGGAGCTCTGGGTTTGATCCCTGAATCAGGAACATCCCCTGGAGGAGGAGATGGCTACCCACTCCAGTATTCTTGCCAGGATAATCGCATGGACAGAGAAGCCTGGTGGGCTGCAGTCCATGGGGTCACAAAGAGTTGGACACGATTGAATGACGCACGCATGTGAATATAATTCAGACAAGGATCTTGAGATGGAGTCACCCTAAATTAGGATGAGGCCTAAATTCAATGATGAGTGGTCTCACCAGTCAGACAGAAAAGAAAAACACATAGAGTGGCAGTGAAGAAAGCCATGTGAAAATACAGGCAGAGATTGGAGTGATGCTGCCAAAAACTAAGGAATTCCAGAAGCCACAGAATCTGGAAGTGGCAGAAAGGATTCTCCTCCAGGGCCTGCAGAGGGAGCAGGACTCTGCTGACATCCTGATTTTGGACATCTGGCTTCTAGAACTGGGAGAGAATACATTTCTCTTGTGTTAAGACACAAGGTTTGCGGTAATTTGTTGTGGCAGCCCTCAGAAACTAAATAGCTGGGGACAGTTTGGAACAATCTAAATTTGGTGAGGAAATCAAGCCTGAACGTAAATTGGGATGATCATGAGTTCTTCTCCCAAATTGTGTACTAGAGGAAAACTCCTCTTTAGAAAGGAAAAGTCACTAGCTTCAGGGACTGGAATGTTCAAGTCATTCTGTCTCATCCACTCTCAGACAAGGACATTTCTGCTGGGAATCTTAAAAGCACCCTGCATTTTCCCACAGGAACGCAACGGAAGCTCTCAATGTGCAGTAAGACTCTGCGCTGATTCAGCTGCTATCTGGCCCCAATAAACTGGTCAGTGACAGGGTTCTTGGTCCTCATCCAGTAAACGCACCCACGCTGGTCCCCACTGCCTCCCTGACCCCATCTGTGGAGGTCAAAGAGGTCATTAACCAAAGACTCCAAGCTAAGGAAAGATACCTGTTTGCCAAGAAAGGTACATAATTGTATATTTCTCCTAACTCCATGGGTTCTTGCAAATACATCTATAAAGTAGAGCTCCTTTTAAGTGAAAAATCTATCCAGGTCATCTGCAAGATCCTTCTATGCCTTTGGAATTCTACAGGAGTCCACAGGAGAGAATTGTGAGAGAGACGTTGTTGAACCCACTGATGCCTAGAGAAACAGTTTTCCTTCTTTCCCTCTCTGACTCCTGGAGAAAAATAGCAGCACAAAGAGCAGTGGCTGTCAGAGAGGGGTGACCTTTTTGGAGCAAAGGCATTAGACAAGATGACACATGCTGACAAGTTCAGCAAACAGTGGCTGCTCTGCCAATCAGCAGATAATTTCTGTGTGTTTGCAATGCAGGAAAGATTGCAAGTCATGTCGTGATCAGAGACAGGTCACGAATACCCCACATGTCATCTTCTAAAGTGAAGGTCAAAAGAAAGGGGGAGGTGAGTGGAGGCAGAGAGCTGAAAGCAGGAGACCCCTGTTCAGGCAAATCAAGCACAGCTAGGCAGATCTCTCCTGTTTTCTGACAAAGCCCAGGGAACCCCAGTAATCACCTGTTCTGTTGACATCTGAGGCTCCCTCCTCACATGTAACCAGCACTGTGTTAAGTCCCAAGTCCTTTATCACTCACGAAAGTCACTCCTTCCCTGACTTGGGGCAGGTTTTCTTTTCTTCCCTTACTTGGTAATTTACTCAATTTATTTCCAATCAGAGAAAGGCGTAGGCAAGAGGCAGGTAAGAGAGGCCACACACAGTACTCTGGCCCCCAAGAACAGTCTGCAGTGGATTTCATTGTTTAATCGAAGCGAGCTCCAGAACACTGACAACACTCATAACCAAAGAGGAAGAAAAACATTCTGAAACCAAATAGGTTCAAAGGAATTTTGTCATGACTTGCCATTAGCTTTAGGAAAGGAAATGCTGAGATAGAATGAGAGAGAGCCATGAAGCACATAGGTAGATAACCTGAGTACCTATCTAAAATGTTTAAGTATTAAATTTCTCCATCAAAGAAGTTTTCTGAGAAAAGGATACTGTTTTTACCACTGAAGATTAACAGGATAAACACATGCGCGCACACACACACAAACACACTTGGCAATCTACAACCCTTCCTAAGAAAATTGTGTAATTCTAATTAACAAGATACTTTTTAAGTAAAAAACTTGATGAGTATAAAAAGCTATCAGTTCAGTTCAGTTCAGTCGCTCAGCCGTGTCTGACTCTTTGCCACCCCATGAATCGCAGCATGCCAGGCCTCGCTGTCCATCNTTCACTCTCCTCTTGCACTTTCATCAAGAGGCTTTTTAGTTCCTCTTCACTTTCTGCCTTAAGGGTGGTATCATCTACATATAAAAAACTACACAGTAATTATAAACATGCTACATTTAAAAAAATAAAATAAAACCTCCATCCTTCCTGTCCAAAAATGTCAAGCTGGCCATTAAGGTTGTAATAAAGGCACACGTAATCACACTGAGGTCCTGCTAACCAACTGATTCATCACTTACACAGGAACCAAGAGATGGTGAAAAGGCCAGAGGTTATACCACGAGGAGAGAAAGCTTCAAACTACTTTGGGATAAGGATCCGTGTCACTAAGATCCTTTTTTAGCAATTCACCTGTTCCTGAAGTTTGCCCTGTCCTGAGGCAAGCAGTGGGAGGCTTGGTTATTTGTGTTCAGATCTGGAAGCTTCTTCCAAGACAGAAGAAGGGAGGGGAGTGACAGTATAAAAGTTATTAGAGAGCGGAGGTTTGGCTGGGCACAGAAGCAAACTAAGAGGAGTCACTGGAGATAAAGAGTCTGTTAAACACATACACATTCACCTGAGTATGTGTGTACCCATGCACACGCACACACACTTTCAAAGCCTCATATTTATTACCTATGAAATTTTCAAACATTTGGTCTGTATACAAATGCACATCAAAAAAAGACAGAAAACATACCCAAGTAGATGATCGCCTATTAAAAGTACGTATGTCTTGCTAATCAGAAAAGTGAAAGTGTTAGTCGCTCAATTGGGTCTGACTCTGAGACCCCGTGGACTGTAGCCTGCCGGGCTCCTCTGTCCACAGGATTCTCCAGGCAAGAATACTGGAGTGGGTTGCCATTTCCTTCTCCAAGCTAATCAGAAACCACACCTTAATTCTGATAATTGAGAAACTATGTGGCTACAGTAAATAAAGAGCAAGCCATTTGTAAAAAATCAAAACACACATATAAATTAATCCAGATACCATCTATCATTTTCTGACATATTACTTTACACAATACTGTTTTGGGGTCCTGCATTCTTACATTATTTTGAACATTCATCAGATTATTCATTTAAAAAGCCAGGAGCTTTGTCCTAATCATCTGGACCTGTTTTTATACTTTGGAAAAGTAAAAAAGACCAACTCTGACTTGGTTGGGAATCATTTTGGGAATAATGGTGGGTGGTTGTTCACATCTGGACTAGGTATAAAACGATAACATTACGATGATGAATGCCACAGAACCTCATCTGCATATAAATAGGCCTAATCAGAAATGCAAATTGCAATCAGGAGAAATTTTTAAAGGCTGTGATAGCTGTGTGATTGTGCAGATAAGGAAAGGTTAACACTTGTATTGTTAAAGCAGTTAAATGGCTCCCAGCCGGCCAGAGCCTTCCTTTGCAAGAGAAATGTGAAAGGCACAAAGCTTTCAAGCTGCAACATGCCTGCATGGAGCTCCCAGATAGCTTCATTTTCTATTACTAGTGCCTCGCCAAACATCAGCCCTATTCTAATGAAGGACAACCAACAAACCTCTTGTACAAAACCCTAATGAATATAGACAATAAAAAATATATTGGCATTTAAATACCCTTCAAACAGACCTCTCTCAGCACCATTTCCCACTGAGACAGAAATAAAGGGTTAGAGAGAAAATCATGACTGATGTAACATTTTTCTAAAATTTTTTAGTGCTGGTACACATTTTTTTTTTTTCATCCCTAAATTTTTCAGCATACTGGAGAAAGATTCAAACTGAAAAAAAAAAAAAAAGACCAGATATGATTATATAATTTTAAAAGAAAACAGTAGTATTTAGACAGAGTACTTAAGCCAAAGCTGCATTTTTAGTCTTGCCATGCAAAGCCTAAAAAAATCAACATCTCAGAAAAATTGGAGTACTGAAAATATGCGATTGTTACAACATACTCCTATTATTTTTGGAATATGCTGTCTTTCAGGAAACCCTCTATCCCCGCTTCCCCCGTGCCGACCCCCGCCGCCCCCTTAAAAGAGAAATACATTTTACAATCAGCCTTTCACAGGTTTGGAGAGAAAACTGTTTACCAACTCTTTATTATCCTAACGAGACTCGTTCACAAAGAACTAATGAGCCAAGAGCGCCATCTTGCGTCCTACCTTGGAATCTTAAAGAGCGTTTTCACAGGATGCATGTCAAAGAGGGGAGGATCTCCGTCCCCCAGTTCAATAGCTGTGATCCCCAAGGACCAGACGTCACAGCGAGCGTCATAGGAGGAGTCATACTGCTGCTCACAAGCGATGACCTGCCAGACACAAGCAGGACACCACACATCAACCCCACTGACACCTCAGAGGCCCCAGAAGGCGCTTGGCCGCTCTCAGCCCCCGTCTCAGTTTCCTGGCTATGCTGATACTGAATTTCAGTAATAACAAGAGGTCCATTTTCTAGGCTTTATTCGTGTGATTGATTTATCATCCGATATGTTCATCCACTTTTAAAACGTATGAATTCAGTTCAATGAACATGCACTGAACCTTGTTGCTACCAAGGACGGTGCAAGGGTGAATACCTCACCACACCCACCCTGACGCCCTTTAAGTGTTGGGCCTTGTCCACATCCTTCATCTCCTTACCAACAGTGAGGAGCAGCTGTTCTCAAAGATGCATGTCTCTTGTGTCTCCTGCACAAAGTCCCTAGAGACTGATGTGGTTAACTTAAAATGGGAACCACTCCCTCGCATTCTCTTTTTCCAAGAAAATCTGCCCCCCTCCGCCACCCCAACTGGTTTATGCTTCCGCCCAGCTGCTGCTTCGGGGATTAGCCCAACCGGGTACTGGAGAAGGGGAACCAGAAAATGCCCTTGGGCTTGTCTTTGGTTTGATGAGTTTGGAACCTTGTGGGAAAGTATTTTTCTATCAGCTTTTTGAGTTAGCAGGGAAAGCTCTACACTTAGACTCTGGTGGGTATCACAATGGGACTGGGAGAAGGCAGGGGTGGGCCGGAGCATGTTGCAGGGAGGAAAGCTCCTATTTGACCTGAAATCTGCCTCCTTGACCTAGGATAACCCATGATTATGAGAAGGTAGGAGACTTTTACGGTTTGAAGCTGTGTTAGTCCAAACAGCCTATGAGATAGACATACAGCATCACTGGCCAAAGGAGTGGGCCTCCCTGCCCTCTTAGGCCATCAGAAGGTCTTTGACTTTGAGTGAGATGGACCAACTTGTGAGGAGGAGAAGAGTAACAGATCTGGCTTATACATTAGCAGGAGCATTCTGGCTACTGTGCTGAGCATACATTAATAAGACACGTGAGTAGAAAAAGCAACACCAGTTAAAGATGCTACTGCAGGAATCCAAACTAGAGACAGTGAGAAATAATCAGATTTTGATAATATAATTTTGAAGGTAGAGTCAACTGGATTTGCCGAATGGGGCTTAGAAGAAAGAGGAGTCCAGAATTTTTAACCTGGGCAATTCCAGAACGAAATTGGTATTTAATGAGATGGGGAAGACAGTAGTAGAAGCAGGTTTGGGTTATGCTCCACTGGGGACATTCTAAGTCTGAGATTACTGTGAGACTTCCAAATGGAGAATTTAATTTTAGTTAGGTAAGACTCAGACGTCTGACCTAGAGAATAAACATGCCTTGTTTAAAGCCATTAAATGTGTGGTAATATTATGTCAGTGACAGAAACCTAATACACCTTTTCTCTGCCAGACCCAGCTCACTGGTCTCACGATGCTAGGTGAACATGCCCATCTTACCCGAGACATGGTCTCCTACTTTTATAATTGTCCTCTACCCTTTTCTTCTGATTTCTGAACTAAAAAACCCTTTTCCATGAACCTGCATCCTTGGCCTGGGATGGATCCCAGCCCCACGCTCTGAACAGACTCGCCTGTCAGAGAAGGATACATTTAACACATTAACACCTTAAAAGGATACTTTTAACACATTATTTTCAAATGTGCATTTAAACTCAAGTTCAAATAATTCCAATTTTTGGAAGCAGGGGCCGTTTCATTGTCCCCCAAGACCTCACTTTCATCACCTCAATCAGGTGAGAAACTACATTATTTTAAAAGATCTCCAGAGAAGGCTATTTAACACCTTCCCTTTCAGAAATGACATTTCCAAATGTGTGAGACAAATATAATTTTAGACCTATCAATCAGCAAGTAGTTCACCATCCTTATACATTCCTGTGGAGAAAAGAGAAATAAGACTGTATCCTTCTCCAACAAGAGCTATGGCTGAGTGAAATTTAAAGTGAACCTGTTAAGAAATTAAATAACAATCTATGACACTTATAAATGTCCTAAGCCAGTACATACTAGCATGTCTAATAAAGGATGCGGCCTTCAAAAGCTTGGGACATTAGAGGGAGACCAATTCAGGCCAACCAAGATAACGAAAAGTATCTAGTGACCCTAGTCTACAACTTCCAGGAAGAAATTCCAGTTGACTTCTAGCCATATTGAATGGGACACAGAAGGCAATTCCAAGAACCTGTCCAAAAGTGGGAATGGAGATATCCTATCGTTTCTCAAGTGCTGTTATAAAATATTCAAAACGTGTATCTGGTTTTCACTTCTCTTCACAGACAGACACACACTATCTCCAGCTCAGTTTGATTAATAGAAGAGTATCTACATTCTAAGTCTGAGATTACTGTGAGACTTCCAAATGGAGAATTTAATTTTAGTTAGGTAAGACTCAGACGTCTGACCTAGAGAATAAACATGCCTTGTTTAAAGCCATTAAATGTGTGGTAATATTATGTCAGTGACAGAAACCTAATACACCTTTTCTCTGCCAGACCCAGCTCACTGGTCTCACGATGCTAGGTGAACATGCCCATCTTACCCGAGACATGGTCTCCTACTTTTATAATTGTCCTCTACCCTTTTCTTCTGATTTCTGAACTAAAAAACCCTTTTCCATGAACCTGCATCCTTGGCCTGGGATGGATCCCAGCCCCACGCTCTGAACAGACTCGCCTGTCAGAGAAGGATACATTTAACACATTAACACCTTAAAAGGATACTTTTAACACATTATTTTCAAATGTGCATTTAAACTCAAGTTCAAATAATTCCAATTTTTGGAAGCAGGGGCCGTTTCATTGTCCCCCAAGACCTCACTTTCATCACCTCAATCAGGTGAGAAACTACATTATTTTAAAAGATCTCCAGAGAAGGCTATTTAACACCTTCCCTTTCAGAAATGACATTTCCAAATGTGTGAGACAAATATAATTTTAGACCTATCAATCAGCAAGTAGTTCACCATCCTTATACATTCCTGTGGAGAAAAGAGAAATAAGACTGTATCCTTCTCCAACAAGAGCTATGGCTGAGTGAAATTTAAAGTGAACCTGTTAAGAAATTAAATAACAATCTATGACACTTATAAATGTCCTAAGCCAGTACATACTAGCATGTCTAATAAAGGATGCGGCCTTCAAAAGCTTGGGACATTAGAGGGAGACCAATTCAGGCCAACCAAGATAACGAAAAGTATCTAGTGACCCTAGTCTACAACTTCCAGGAAGAAATTCCAGTTGACTTCTAGCCATATTGAATGGGACACAGAAGGCAATTCCAAGAACCTGTCCAAAAGTGGGAATGGAGATATCCTATCGTTTCTCAAGTGCTGTTATAAAATATTCAAAACGTGTATCTGGTTTTCACTTCTCTTCACAGACAGACACACACTATCTCCAGCTCAGTTTGATTAATAGAAGAGTATCTTTGGCCAAATTCTCTTCCCTAAACTCAGCTAGCAATGTGACAAAGGAATTATTTAGGCTTAGCTTTCTAAAGAAGTTTATAGAAAATTTCTGAAGTAAAATAACTCACAAATAATTATTAAGTACTGATGAGCCAGCATGGTCCTAGGTAGGTACACAATCACTCTGTGAGACAGGTACTATTACTACCTGTAGTAGGCATGGAAACTGAGCTATAGCACAGTTAAATAGCTTCACAGAGCCCATGGCTAGTTATGGTCAGGGACAGAATTTGAACCCAGGCAGAGGAGAGACATCTAAACATCATAATATGATAAGGACTCTAAATAATAAAGGTTGTCAAGGAACCTGAATTATCAGCATCTGTACTCATATTTTGACCAAACTAGCCACGTTTTTGAGATTTGTTTCACCTAAACTCCATGTCTTCAGAGAGAGTCTCTCTTTCCCTTTCTCTTTACTGAGTTATGGGTGATGGGATTCAAAGACACACACTAAGACGTTACATCCCTGTTGGAAGGTCAACACATCCTGGAACTGTATTCCTGTCAATGCAACATCAAAGTCTGCAACTGTTTCTTTAGGAGAAAAAGCAATTTCATTCTCCTTAGCTCAGCATTCTCCTTGTCTCTACGTAAAAGAAAACTGAGTTAAGAATGCTTAGATGGTCAGTTGGTCTTGCCCCCAGGAGAACGTGACCTCTCAAAGAGCTCTCTGAATCACTTCTGGAGCTCTCTGAATGCTCCACAAAGAAAAGGTGAGTGGCAGTGGCAATTAATTGCACTGCCCTGGGACCAGGTTTCCCAGGTTCTGTAAGTCATATTAAAGGGGTGAAGAGAGGGGAGTTTGAAATGGCATTGCCACAGGCCCATGACCCGAAACACCTCATCCTCTTCCATCCCTCTACCTCAGCTCTGCTATCCCCAGGAGGAGACATACGTGAGGCAAGTGTATACTCTCCCTTACGGCAAGCCTTCGCTTCAATCACAGGAGTATAAATGATGTTGGTGGCAGTGGAATGAGACAGATAGAACAGGTGAGAGAGAGAGAGAGCTCAAGGGAAGACTTGCAGGACTTGGGAGGCTAGGGAAAGGGGCACACCAAGGAAGACTAACATATAACCTGGGTGACCAGGAGAATGATGGTACCATTCACAAAACAGGGAAGTCAGGAAGAAGACATCAGCTTGGTAGGCAGTACAGCAAGCTCAAATTGAGTCTAAGCTCTATGCCTAACTAGGTACAGAAAAGCCATGTGTGCTCTTGGAAACTTTTTTCCCGTGTGTAGATTCAATAAGAAAAACAAAATTCCATCAGGATCAGAAACAGAATATACTAAAGGGTAACAATGAAACACTGATGTGCTTTTAGTAACTACATGGAATTTTATGTTACAGTAAATATACCTTACAGTTCACAACTCTATAGACTTTAATCTTCCTATTGTTGGTTGCCAACACCACTAGTCAAAATTTGTAGTTTGAATACACAGTTATAAGTACCAGAAGCAGATACAAGGTTGTATATCATGAACTTTAACAAACTGGGATATTTCTCTTAATCTAGTATTGTGAATAGAAAAACTGCTAATGAATGTCAATTCTACAAAGTAAGAATTCTCCATAGTAGATTTTAGAGTCTCACAAGCATGTTCATATGAAGAAGATATGTCTTCTGGAATGTTTCACGTGATGTGTATGTAAGTGTACTTGGCAAAAGCTAAGAGCATAGAATTAACTGAATTAAAGAGAGTTCTACAGCAATATTTGCTAATGACCTACTGGCTTCAAGATTAAAATGCTGACTCATTGAGTCTCAATGAGTTTCAGGATGTATAAATTCCTACAAACTTCTGCATAGTCACCTTTAACAACCTTCCATTCTTCCACATGATATCAGTGAGTGTTTATACTGCTTCTGAGTTTTAATGAGTAGTTTTATCCACTTGGTGTTAATCTATCATTAGCCTCATCACTTCTTCCAGGTTTTAAAGGGGCCAGTCTTACGATCTCATCAAAGTGACCCCTGAAGTAAACAGAAGTAACACAGGGTGAGGATTATGTCTTATCTTTCTTCCTTTTCCATCCATATCAATTTGTGGCACTCATCAGAGAAGCTATGCTGAAAAACTTTTGGATTGGAATCAGAAAGTCTGAACTCCATTATTCACTAGCTGGGTCCCTCTGATCAAGTCCCCTGAAAATTTTGAGCTGAGGGTTCTTTAGTTAGAGTGATCTCACTTTCTAGATCTATAAACTGGCAAGGTGGGGATGAATAATCTCTAGAATCCCTTCCAGCTCTAACATACTGACTTCATGATTTCAAAATAAGTGCTTTAGGGGTATCTCAAAATGAGAGGCTAACTTCTCCATGTAAATTACTTAGCAAACAGTAGATTATTCTGGGGTATGAACCGGATGACTAGAATTTTGAGTGGATTGTATTGCCAATATTTGGTAGAAGGTGTTAAAGTCTATGAAAAGATGCTGGTTGCTGTGATAATGCCTCTGTTAAGCAAGATAAGCTTCAACAACACAGCAGTTGTTTGGATGCTGGTTAATGGAGCATGTCCACGTTCCTACCTTGAAATGCAAACTTATGACTTTTCTGATACACTTAGCTACATTGATGCTTATTTTAGGAAGGGGAAAGACACTAATGTTCAATTTTCTGGCAATATCTATGCACTAACAGCCTCAGTGCTCAATACCAATACCTATTCTACCCGGAGATGGGCTAGAGCCTCTGAAATGTTGGTCATTACCTCCTGGGCTACCCCAAAACTTCTTTCTGGAGGGATCTGAGGACAAGAAATACATTTTCACTATAGTTTAGCTCTATTGGTCTTTGTAGCAAAAGCTAGCAGTCAGTTTTCTTTGTTAGGGCAGTTCTTGCAAGACTTTTTTAAGCTAACAAGTTCCCAAGTTTAAGACTCCAAATCTACCCCAGTCACTCCTTCCTCCCCTCTCTTAAAGGAGTTTATAGGGTGAAATTGTAGCTACAATTTGATAACACAACCGCTTTGGCACATATCATTTCCTTATCCATCCTTGGGCATGGTCCACTGGGTTCTGTTGAGGAGGCTGGCCCTTTTTTTAGTCCTGAGCTGGAGAAAACTAACTGTGAAGAGCTCTGGGAGGGTGAAAAGACTTGACCCTCTGGTGACTGCAAAAAGGTCCCAGAGCCAGGCACCTTCATTTTGGTTTTGCCGCCTTCTCACCGGCTAACTTTAGCAAATTATTTAATCTCCCTGTATCTCTTCTTCCTGTGTAAACCAAGCAACCCTTTCCCCCTGGGTGTTGTCTGAAGCACTGCTTAGGGAAATGCTGATTACCCAGCTTTCTCTATGGTACTAGAATGTTAGTAGAGGATATCACTGATGATATCATAGATGCATGGGTAATATATATGTTATTGATTTACTTCAATAAGACTGTCTACATTTACTAAAATATCTACAGGGAACACAAATTATTTCTATAACAAAAAAGAACAAATTTGTCAGTTTTTCTGTCTTGAAAATATAAATAAGTATTGGAAAGTTTGCCTTGATCTTCAAAAGGGTGTGGTTACTTCCTCAGGGGTCTGTATTAGCTGTGAGGATTCTTCATCAGCAAGATGACAGGTTAAAGGTGATGTCTTGGTTGTAAAACTAGGGTCGCACAAGTTTAAAAAGAATTCTCTTCTCAACCATACCCCTTTCCATTGTAACCACAAGACTAGGCATAATACTTTCACTTTCTCAGGCCACCACAGTCCCATGGAATGCCCCATGATTGCAGTTTCATTTCAACCTAGACCAAGAGTAGGGCTTACTGGTAAAGTTCCCAAAACAGGGGTGAGATCTACCCTCTATCTTTGCAGAAAGACTTGAGCTATAATAACCTGAGAGAACAGTCTCTCCTCAACTCAAAGTCTTCATTATCTGCAAAGAGTATCTGTATTAGACTGGATATAAGGGGAATAAAAAGTAGTCAACATATGAACTCCTGCATTCAGAAAACCTAGATTTCTCCAAACTATTTAACTTAAACCATTTATCAGATGACAAATCAAAGAACTGCTGGGCTGAAATCTCTTTCAATAATGTGATTTTTAACCAATATTTTCAATCAAATAATATTACAGTAGCATCATCCACCATAAGGAAAAATATGTTTTGCTCTTTTAAAGAATGATTTACAAAACTTAAAAGACAATAGCTGTTATTCAGACTATTTTATTTTTCCACTAATTTTTAAAATGTCATTAAAAATTCAATTAGGTTTGCTTTATATGTTCTGATTTCTCATCTTACTAGAATTGATTGTGTGATCCAAAATTATAACCAAAGGTCAAGATTAAAATTTCAGTCAAGTACACAGGCAAAATGCTGTTATCTCAAGAGCTAAATTCAGCTTAAAAAGAGGCAAAGCAAATAGACCTAAAGCTATTAATCCTTGGCTGACCTTGAGCCCAAAAATACAGTCAACAGACTGGCAAATAAGATGGGCTGAGAAGTAGGAAGGCAAATAGGATTCTTAATTTTGCTTACATAATTCACACAGCATAATTAATAAATGTTATTGATCATAAAGATTTCTAAAATAGAGTTTCCCTAGAATTGTAAATTGCAGCTATAAATATTCCAGTGGCAAATATTATTCATCAGTTTTACATACAAACATCTTAAAGTGTTACCAGCTGAGATATTGAATCAGCACATGAAATCTCTTCCCTTGGATGAAATATAACTTCAAGGGAGAATACATTTGAGACTTGAGGGGTTTCTTTCCAAAAGGGATGTGGACTAGAAGAACTGAAATTGATGGGGTGGTGCTTTTTTTGGTTCATTCATAAAACTCAAGGCTAGAACTGAATATATATTCCGTATACTGAGAAACTGCCAGTAATAATTTAAATTATGCTGTTCACATAAAATTGAGAAAGGTCTCTAATTAAAATATGATGTTCTACAAGCCTTTTCTCAGGATTGTAACACTCAGATTATGCCTTTAGAAAAATAAAACAGGGTTCAACTTAAAAAGACGCAGAGCCCACATACACAACACCACTTCCCACCATGGCTGGCAGAGGGCAGAGGGGGGCTGCTCTGGGTTTGAGGCCAGCACACAACACCAATTTTGTACTGAAATTCCCCAAAGCCCTGGAAACATATCGCTTTTGCTATTTCTTTTGTTACGGACTGTAGCCCACCAGGCTTCCCTGTTCATGGGATTTCCCAGGCAAGGATACTGGAGTGGGTTGTCATTTCCTTCTCCAGGACATCTTTCTGACTCAGGAATCAAACCCGTATCTCCTGCACTGGCAGGTGAATTCTTTACCAATGAGCCACGAGGGAAGCCCAACATATCACGTACACTTAACTGTCTGGCAAGCCCTGCTCTCAGACTCAGGACCAGTATCACAGAATTCCTCTGTGAAAGCAAAATTAGTGACCCCAAATTTTTGTATGTGTCCTTAGTACTCAAAGATTCTGAAGAAATACATGTGCTTGGAGACCCAAGAGGATCCCACCACCCTCCCTTAGCAGCTTTCCCCAAATTAGAGATGGATGCTGGAAGGGATCCTAAGATTCATTAAGTCAATCCCCCTATTTCACAGATGAGGAAACTGAGGTCTTGGGGAATAGCTGAGTCACAGAGCTGGTTTGTAGCCAAACCAGGAGCAAAGTCCATGACTTCTCCATGAGTGAGGCATCTCCCAGGGATTCTTATTATACACAGAATGCTGAGACACTCCCAAACGGATTTCATGTTCCATCATAAGCCATAGCCACAGTAACTGTCATACTCTGAGCAAGCAGCACTCCCTCCACTTAAGCAGGTGGAGTTTCTACTGCCTCTCACTTCCCCATGCCCTCACTTTTCCTTCCACTGCCCCTTCCCTTTGTCAACTAGAGCTCTAATTCTACCAGAGTAGGAGTTCTACAGTTTCGTTCTTTCAACAGCTGTTAGGTCAGGTATTCTTACCTTAGGGGAGGAGACAGATTCAGAAGGGTTAAGAAACTCTCGCCAAGTTATATAGCTAGTAGTTAACAGAACTGAAGCATAAGCCACAATAAGAAACCAATGGGGGGAGGGGTTGCAGGTAGTTTTTCTCCTCTGCAATACATCTGAAAAACAGGAAGGGAAGCAAATCGAACAGAATATCTGAATGTTCCCTCATGGGCACTCCCCTTTATCCACACGTGGTCTCTGGGTGATGTCCTCTCCCAGACTGACATCACCGTGCAAACCAGAGCACCCTGGGGAATATCACACAGTTCTGGCAAAGAGTGATTTCCTTTATCTTTTTAAAACCAAAAAAGATATGGGAAAAACCTGGGACATAATAGAGTTCCATGAAGAGAAGTTCCACATGCTCCAGAGCCACGCCCACCCCAGGCTCCCTGGGGCCCACTCCTAATGCTGACTGCCCGCCTCCCTCTGCTTTCCTCCAACAGCTCAGGGTCCATCGTGCAGCGGAGCCAGGGCAGCCCTGGCCTAGCTGTGAACTCCTTTCCCCTTCCGTGGGGCTGAATCCCTCCCTGGGCAGGGCAGTGGAGGCGCTAACCTGAGGGCAGCCGCCGGGTGATCTGACTCAGAGCCTAGGAGGAGCAGAGGCGGGCTCTGACATTTCTTCAGCAAACACTTCTGCCCCTGCGGGAACAGTTCTTCATCTTTGGTGGATGAAGAAGGGGAAACAACAGGTGCCTTGACCTTTCTCACCTCCCCAGAGAGAGGTGGGAGGACAGTCAGGGAATTCTAAATGCTCACAGAGGCTATGACTTTGATAGGTCTTACTCAGCCCTCAGCAGGAGGCAGGTTGGGGGCCCCACGTGCTTCTGCACATCTGGAAGCTGAGGCCTCAAATGGGGTTCTATATTTAGATCTGCCAGGAGGAGGGTAGCACAAGTCACCACCACCTCCAGGGCCAGCCCCCCACCTCCACAGTGACAGATGATATATGGCTCAACCCCACAGAGCTCCAGCTGAGAGGGGAGCTGGGGCTGAAGCAGAGGGTGAAATCTGGGGCTGCATTAGTCACTGTGACCCTTCACCCACCACAGCCCCAAGTGTTTGGGTTGTGCTCCAGGACCCTCAAAGACAGGACCACCCTGGGAATGCAGGTAGGGTCTGCCCCAGAACGAGAAGGGAGGGAATCCTTGCTTCTCACAGGCTGACCCAGGAACCTGGGGGGAATCAGGGAACACAAATGGCTGAAGAATTTCAGAGATGAAAGTTGTGGGGGAAGACACACAGGTCTTTCAGACAACCATCCAAGGTTCTAAACCCCTCACTTGAATCTCCTGAGCAACCAAAGCCTATATACCTCACAGTGAAGGGACTGGCAGGTGGGGTCCCAAGAATCCCCAGCCTTTTAAGACAGAGTTGGGTAAAATCAGACCCTGAAAGTCTCACCATTGTCATCACTTTGCCCTTACTGAGAGCCTTGAGAGATCCCCCTCTTCATTATCCCAGGAACTCCAGGGGCTTGGAATGTGAGAGTGGGAAGACTCTCTTTCCCCCGGAAACCATCAGTGTTCTGGGAAGCCCAGAATGGACCTCAGAGGCAGAGACTACCCAGGCCAACCCTCTGAGCCGAGAACAGGGCAGGAAAGGTAGGGTTTAGGCAATAGGCCACCATTTTCACAGCTCACACCATGCTGGGTATGGCAGCAAGCACTTTCAGGACATCATTTCATTTTGTCCTCTGAGGCTGCTTTTTTTCCCTTCTCACTTCCTCTTTTAACTTCTCCCATCTTTCTAATCAAAATATTTGGTAACTCGCCTGAGGTCCAGGATTAGGTGTGTAAGC